GAGTTTTTAGGTAGCCATGTTTTTAAGAATGTAGATAGAGATGAAAATATGGTGAAGTATACATTTTTTTTCTTTTTTTGTAGGAGTACTGCTATTAATTCAGCCACTGATTAGCTGATTGAATTGTGCATGAACTCCACCTTACTTTTTTTTTCTTTTTCCACTTTTTATAATTTTATTTATTGAATCACCGTGAGAGCAGTTACAAAGCTTTTGGGTCTAAGTCTCAGTCATACAATGAAACACCCGTATCTTCACCAGTGCCCATTCTCCACCACCAAAAATCCCAGTATACCCCCATCCCACACCCTCCCCCTGCCTGTGGGGCAGATGATTTCTACATTACTCTCTCTCTACTTTGATCACATTCACTATTTCGACACCAGACCCACCATTATTTAAGATTTTACCCCAACACTCAGATCTGCTGAAAAGGCAAGAATAGACAATTTTTGTTCTATTGCTGGTTATGAATAACATATGATGTCGTGTGGCTGCAGTAGGGCCATGTGGTTTTGAAATTCTGAAATTTTAACACTTAAATCTGGAGGGATTTCTGCCAAAAGCCACTGGGTTTAGAGATCTGCTCCTGAGTCTCTGGGATCATGGCCATTGAGCAGCTTGATGAGGAGCCAAAGAGGCCGTTCGTGGGCGATGACTTGGGGTCTCATTGGGGTGGGGAAGACAGGCCCGGCTCCCCTCCCCCCATCCCGTGAGACCCAACAAGTTTCGTCACTGCGGGCCCAAGCCTGACTGTCCAATGGCCTCTGGAGGATGACAGCCACCAAGTCGCCAAGAGGGAGCAGACGGAGGGACAGTACCCATTCCCCCCTGGGGTGGCCCGGCGACAGTAACCTACTGCAGGGTCCGGACACATTTCTGACAAAAGCTGCTGGGTTTCGAGATTTGTTTCTGAGTCTCTGGGATCAAGGCCGTTGAGCAGCTTGATGAGGAGCCAGAGAGGCCGTTCGTGGGTGATGACTTGGGGTCTCATTGGGGTGGGGAAGACAGGCCCGGCTCCACCTCCCCCCCCCCCATCCCGTGAGACCCAACAAGTTTCGTCACTGCGGGACCAAGCCTGACTGACCAATGGCCTCTGGAGGATGACAGCCACCAAGTCGCCAAGAGGGAGCAGACGGAGGGACAACACCCATCTCCCCCTGGGGTGGCCCGGCGACAGTAACCTACTGCAGGGTCCGGACACATTTCTGACAAAAGCCGCTGGGTTTCGAGATTTGTTTCTGAGTCTCTGGGATCAAGGCCGTTGAGCAGCTTGATGAGGAACCAGAGAGGCCGTTTGTGGGCGATGACTTGGGGTCTCGTTAGGGTGGGGAGGACAGGCCCGGCTCCACCTCCCCCCCCATCCCGTGAGACCCAACAAGTTTTGTCACTGCGGGCCCAAGCCTGACTGTCCAATGGGCTCTGGAGGATGACAGCCACCAAGTCGCCAAGAGGGAGCAGGCGGAGGGACAACACCCTTTCCTCCCTGGGGTGGCCCGGCGACAGTAACGTACTGTGGAGTCCGGGTGCATTTCTGCCAAATGCCACTGGGTTTTGAGATTTGTTTCTGAGTCTCTGGGATCATGGCCGTTAAGCAGCTTGATCAGGAGCCAGAGAGGCCATTTGTGGGCGATGACTTGGGGTCTTGTTGGGGTGGGGAGGACAAGCCCGGCTCCACCCTCATCCCGTGAGGCCCTGTGTGTCTCATCACTGGGGACCCAAATGTGACTATCCAGTGGCCTCAGACGGATGGTGGCCACTGGGCTGCCAGGGGGAGTAGGCCAAGGCACGAAACCTATTCCCACCTGGGTTGGCCCAGCACCGGTAGCCTACTGCAGAGACCAGACGCATTTCTACCTAAAGCCACTGGGTTCTGAGATTCGTTTCTGAGTCTCTGGGATCATGTCCATTAAGCAGTTCAATCAGGAACCAAAGAGGCCTTGCCTCCAATTATATAGCTGAGCCGGAGGTGGTTTGTGGGTGTGTTTCCCACATACCTAACTTTTGGCCGTTTACTTTCTTGGTAAACTTTGCCCCAAGTTTTTGGGGTCTGGCCAAAGGCACAGCAGCAATTTTGGGGTATCTGGAAGTCTGAAGGCGCCATGAGGCTGCTTATGCACTCGCCTCACAGGTACAGATTGACCTGCTGGTGGCACCATACCCCCTTGAAGTATACATTTTATTCAGTCTAATATACCAAATACAGTATAATCATAACATATAGTACTTATAAAAATTGTCATCCAGATCTTTTTACTTAATGTTTTTATAGTTTCATCCTTGAACGCTAGTGTGCATGTTGCACTTGTAATGCATTTCAAGTGTTCCATTGGTTATAACACTGGGCAAGAAAGGCTTGAATAGTCCTGAGAATAAATGAATGGGGCAAACCAATGCACACATACCAATATATACAAATGTTTTCTCCTCTAGGTAAAAGAAGACATACCCAAATGAATTCACTTACTAATTCTGTCTATGGTTCTCAAAACAGGATGGTTTGCACTGATGCCTGCCTGAAGTGATTCAGAACATCGAGCAGATAAGCATTTAGCTCATATAATATTTTGGATTACTGTGAGAATGACTTGCGTTATAAAAGTCTTATTATTACCCAAAACTTCTAGGACTTTCCCAAGACTAGAATGTGTCCTGCATCCCTAAATCTAATGTGAAGACATGAAGCAGCAACTTCTATGTACATGGTATTTACATAGTTTCTGAACTACATAGTTTCTGAACTACAAGTGTTACTAGGTTCTGCTAGAGAGAATAAAAGTGGACGCAAGTACGACCTCCTGATGAGGGCATTGCATTTACTGAAGAGTGGCTGCAGCCCTGTGGTTCAGATTAAGATCCGGGAATTATACAGACGCCGCTACCGAAGGACCCTCGAAGAACTCTCTGACTTGTCCACGATCAAATCGTCAGTACATGGTATTAGAGACAGAAAAAAGTACACTATCTCTATCTTGGAATGCTAAATCTCTGAAGGTATGCATGGAGATGATCTTTTTATTGATGCAAAAGAAGTCTAAATCTAGGATGTTGTTATTCTGCAAGCAAAGCAGAGGACTATTTTTTGGGTTTCCAGTTTGCCCTTCATCACCCATAAAGTTTAATGTAAAGAAAGAATTAAAGAAGGTTTCCCCCTTCCCTGTTGATATGTGGGAATTGGAATGTGTTTGATAACTCATCCATGGTTACAGATTTTGCATTTCACCCTTTCTTCACAGGGTATGCAGTATTTCTGTTAGTAATAGTGGATCTCCCTCCAAAACACTCACTGATTTTGGTAACTATATGTTGGAAAGATGATGTACCTTATTGCCTTTGGGGAAAGCAAAATCAAAACATTTTCAGTTTGTCGAAACACAAAGCCAGAAATGTGATACCAAATATTGGTGGGGTCTCTTGACTACAAATGGTGGTAACATATTAATCAGGTGCATTTTCACACAGGAGTGTTTTATATGCCGAAAACAAACAATATATAATATTTCCATTGTGCAATTCTTCTCTCATGCTGATATTTATCTTCCTCAAATGCAATATATAACATGTGCATTAGACACACATCTCATAACGTTTCTGCTCACTCTAATAATTAATGTAGAACACATAAACCGTATTTTATTAATGTTCCATTAAGTAAATTTGCTTAAAAAGATGGAGTGTGAAAAGGCATTAAGAACTAAAATATTTTCAGCATCCTTTCCTCCTTATTTACAAAAAGAAATATGGCAAAATATTGCCACAAACCTCAAACCAGAAAGTAACCAATAATTTAGTCTAGTGAGTCCTTAACTCATGCCCATTGGCAGTGTTTTTTGATAAGAATATTTTATACCAAACTGTGAGAATCCATTTAGCTCACTCAGCATCCTAATAGACCTATGTTCTTTTTTTCCCCTCTAAAATTATTATAGGCAGTGAAACTGAAAATGGCAAAAAGGCTTGCTTTTAGGAAGCTTTTTAATATGCTTATATTATTGAAGATCAGCTACCAGAATTATCTATAGCTATTAACCTAAATCTAACTCTCAGGCTATTTCAAAGGATAAACCACACTTACAACTCTTCAAAGCTAGTCAGATTTTAGCAGAAAGACCCTATACTGTCATGTGGAAAAAGGACAGCATTACTTTAGGAAGCTATTCTTTAACTGAAAAACCATTATAAGTATGGCAGATGTAAAGTTGTCTGATTATAAATATTATTTATTTTATTCATTTATTTACTGACCACATCTAGGTGGTAGTCAGGCCTTACTTCTGGCTCTGCATTTAGGGATCACTCCTCAGTGGGCCTGGGGACTATACAAGATTCCAGGGATCAAACCCAGCTTCGCCACATGCAAGACAAGTGCCCTATCTACTGTACTATCACGCAGCCCCCCGCCACTTTTTTAAAAAATATTTTTATACTTTGATTTGTTTCTAGAATCTACAACTTGAGTTTTAGATTCTAGAAACCCAATATGAGCATCACTTATCTATGATATCGGTATCTTGAAATTGTCACTACTCAGTAAAAGCATTCATAAAGTATTGCATTGCATGCTGGAAATATGCAAACCATATTCTGGTGCATTATGAAGCAGAAAGATGAAGTGCACCAGTTAAGAGAATGGACTTTGGAACGAAACAACCTGGATTACATTCTTGGCTCTGTCACTAGTTGTGACCTTAGAAAAATTACTCAGCCTCTCTTTGCCTCACTTTCATTACCAGTAAAATGAAAATAAAAATATATTCTTACGTGAATGTTAAAGATTAGATGACTCGAGGTTCTGAAAATGGTTGTTGGCAGATAATTGGTGCCATATAAATGAGTTATCACTTTAACTATGTACTAGTAATAGCTACTATTATAACAAATACTATATTTCCTACCCAAAGATCCTTATTATAAACTTACTTAAGAAGGCAATGTCACAGTTAGTTTATGGATTGGGCACTTTGATCTTTCATTAGAAATGTGAACGGCAGGATACCTACAGGAATAACAGGTTTCAGACTCTGGCCACTGGGGTGTGAAGTGCTTGGCTGGGCATCAGCAGGTGGGCCTGGCGCTGGGTCACTGCTCCTCCTCACCAGCAGTGGTGTGCCTGGACAACAGAACGAGAGGTGAGAGGTCAAGGAACCCTGGAGGGTGAGAGTGCATGGCACCATGCAATTTAATTAAAAAGCTTTACAACATCCTTTAATATAAAAACATTCTCTTTCTAAGGATGCTTGTAAATTAATCCACTTAATGATCTTTTGTAAGTCATTTATAGAATGACACATGGAAACAAAGAGCTTGCAACTTTTCCCTTTCCCAATACTTGACTTATGAAACAAGTCATTGTACTTAGGGAGTAATTTACACAATGACAAAGTTGAAGGGGTGCAATCTAAACAATTATTAGATTGCTTTGACAGAAAATAGATTTGAATATTTTTTAAAAAATTATCCAGAAGAGAAATGAAAAGTTCTTATGTCAATGTACTGTGTTATTCAGTAGAGGCAGACCTTCATCTATTATTGGCATTGAGTATATCCCAATCTTCAGAATAATGAGATAGTCTGAATAAATTATTTGCTTAAGTTTTAGCATTAATGTCTATTTAAGCACACAAAGATATTGATTCCATTCTCTTTTCTCCTAAAGAAGATAAAACTGATAAGAAAACTAAGTTAGGGGTCTAAAAATATATCCTGCTCATTTTTTAATTTAATGAAAGCTTCCTCTATTAAATATTTGTCTCAGTTATTAAATTCTGAAAACAGATCATATTATTAGAAGGTTCAGTGTAATTCAACCTTACCAGAGATAGTGGCCTAACTACTATGACTACAATTAGGCCTAAAACAATTTGTTTCATACAAAATTGGGCATTGTAGAGGAAATGTCTTTTAAAAAGCAGTTTAAAAATCCTCATATAAAAATTAACTTTTTTTTCTCCGCTTGCTTGTGAGAGGGTGCAAAACATTCGAAAGGCATAAATTTAGCAGCTAAATTTTCCATGTATTACTATTCTGAAAATAATTCCCAAACTCTCTCCCTATTGCAGTTTAAAAGATAAATGTTTCATATCTTACTTTAAATTGTAATAATAAAAACTAAATCTACCTGAAGCTATTTATACATCTGCTAAGTATAGCAACCTCAGCATTGTTATTTTGTATATAAAACAAAAATAACATTTTTCTTCTTTTATTCAGATAGAAGTCACTTTGAAAATAACTTTCAAATAAGAAATTAACATACTACTTAACGTAAAACACTCTGACAAAAGGGATAATAAAATCCAAATTGTTCTTCCTTCTTTTTATTTAATAGGCATCATTATATTATTCCCTACCTCCTTTATCTCCTTATAAAACAAATAAGAAAATATAAAATCAATAATCCTATAGTTGACCATTGTTCTGTGAAAGATTAAACAAAACAAAGCCAACAAAAATGAAGAGTAGAAAGAAAAACATATCTTAAAACCTTAAGATATTATAGTTCCTATAACACAAAAATTCTTTTTGTTTTTTCAGGTCATCTTAAAAATTTCTCAAGTTAAATTCCTGAATTACAATTAATAGTAAGTGAACAAGGAATTGTAAATGTGACATCCTTAGAAGCAATGTGCTATTTTTTAAATCAAGAGAATATCAAACTCAGTGAAGCTGTGAGTTATTGCTAAGCATTCAATCCAAACATCTCCAATGACAAAGAAAGAATTAAAGAAAAAAGTAATATCAGCAAATGATACAAAAATAAAAATATAAGCTTGTTCAGGGCACATAAATTGAACAATTCGCTATTTAATTATATTTTAGGTAAAGGTAAAGGCCCTCCCGTTGATCGTCGATTTGCTCGAGCGGGCCCAGTAACGTCTCCATTGGAGACCTTGTTGTTACTGTGTCTGGCATATCGAATACTCTCGGTAGCTTGCCGGGCTCTCCGAGAGGGGCGGAGGAATCGAACTCGGGTCGGCCATAGTTGGCCGCTTGTAAGGCGAACACCCTACCCGCTGTGCTATCGCTCCAGCCCTAATTATATATATTATATTTTAAAGCTGATATAATATATATAGATACATACATATATATGTAATACACACATGCACACCTATGCAATGGCTCTTTTATAAGGATATTTTATACCAAATTGGGTGAATCCATTAGCATAGGTGTATATATGTATATACAAACACACCATACTATATCTGGATATATGATCTGGATATATGAGGATATATGAGAGTCCTAGACTCATTCCAGTTAAAGGTAATTTTTTTCTTAAGTAATTTGAAGCTTTTTCTTAAAGAAGTCACACTAGTTTCCTTTCAACTTTAATCAATGTCCATGAGTCCTGATTTATTTTTAATATATACTTTTATTAATAAATATACACATTTTGTAATAAATATTCGTGTTTGTACATTCAAACAATAAACCACAAGTTTACAGTATACAGAAAAAGACAGTTAATTTTTGTTTCTGTGTACCACTAATTTTAGAATATTAATCAAAACAAAACTTTTAGACAACTACATATTTTAAACATATGTAATATTCTCAACTTATTAGGAATAAGTTTGCCCTTATCCACTTTTCCATATTATACATTTGAATGGATCCTATGAAGGCACCTAATTTTTCTTTGGCAGTCTTAATGTGTTAATAACAAGTATAAATTATTTCATATTAGAATTGATAATGAGCATCTTTAAATATGAAGTGCTAGCTAAGATTTTTAAACACCCTTTCCTTGGAAATAAAAAACTATATTTTGTGATAATTGCCAGACCCCATTTCAAGGTGAATTGAAGGGAGGATATGAAGTAGCCACTAAACAGGTTGAAATGTACGTTCTAGAGCAGGGGCCACACAAGAAAAAAAATAACGATAATCATATCATGTCAAAACAGGTGAGAGTCAAGAGGGCTTTAGAGTCAAGAAGTCGGATTTTACCTTTCCAGGACATTGGGTTGCTTGGTGATAGTTTCATATAAAACCTGATAATAATGGGTCTGGAATGATGGCAAGTGGGCAAGACATTTACCAGGCATGTGCCTGAGCTGAGTTCGATCCCAGATGTTCCAGGAGTGACCCCTGAGTGCTAAGCCAGCCAGAAGCAAGCTCTGAGTACGTCCAGGTGAATGACCCAAACTAAAAATAAATAACTAAAGACTGATAATAACAACACAGGATAGAACTGGTGGGAAGCTGAATTAAAGTGAAGCATGTGTTAGGCAGCAGGCATAGTACAGCAGGTAGGGCATTTGCCTTGTCCAGGGCCGACCCAGGTTTAGTGCCCTGCATCCTATATGGTCTCCTGAGCACTGCCAGGAGTGATCCCTGAGTGGGGTGTTGCCTGCTCACCCTCAAACAACAAAAATAAAGCATAAAGAGTCAAGACACTGCCCAGTACATAAATGTTTATGAGGAAGATTCCTCTTCAATGTGAAAGAGACAATGGTATTTTAATTGTTGTAAGAAGTGTCATTGATTTATAAAGCTGGACTCCTGAAAGTCAAGTTCATTTTCATGGAATGATATTCAAATTAGACTAGTAATTTTACTTTTGTCAAACCAGATATAGTTTTTTTAAAAAAATATCAAGTGTGTGTGGTTTTGTTTTTTTGTTTTTTGAGTCATACCTAGTGATTCTCAGGCCTGATTCCTGGCTCTGTGCTCAGGAATCATTCCTGATTCCTGGTACTGTAAAATTGATACATGGTGCTGGGGATGAAACCCTGGTCAACAGCTTGCAAACCAAGTGTCTTACCTGATATATTATCTTTGGCTCAAAATAAATTTTTTAAAGGGAAAAAAAAGAACGAGAAATGTTGGAGTACAAGGAGCTTAGGTTTATCAGGTTGCACCCATCACAGTGTTCCCATCACATCACATCACAGGTTGCACCATCACAGTCACTCCCATTACTTTGTTTGTCAGTAACTACTTCTTTGTGCTCTTTTCCCCAACCACTTGGATTAGCACAACAAATACCAGTCTGCTAGACCTTGGAATCTACATCTCCAAGATCAGCCTGCCTGGAGCCAGGCATCTACATCCCAAAGATCAGGCTTGGCTTAGCACCTGGGATCTGCATACCTAAAGCCAGCTAGGTTCCTGTGAGATAAGGGAAACTGCCTCAATATACTGAAATCATTTACTGAAGGCAGTTTGACGGGGAGAAAGTTCAGTCTCATCCAAGCTAGTCAGGACACACAGGAAAACTGCTTCTAGGACAGATTCTCATTTAGCAGATCAACTCACACTAGAACAGATTTCCCTGGATGTGTTTCTCCTCTTCTTGTCCGACCAACATATAAGCATGCATAATATAAATCATTTTGTATGGACACAGTAAGAAATACTATGGGCTTATAGAATTGCTCTCCCAGGGCCATCTCAATCTCAGACTGCAGTGCTCAGGCCAGATATCTTTCCTATTCCTAGCAGCAGGGTCCTAGTCTCATCGTTACTTTTGGATCATGACAGCATTTGCCTATGATCAAACTCTTAACTTATAGTTAAGAATCGTGGCACCTTGGCCTGGCCCATCTCGATGCCAGGGTAGCACATAACTTACCGGCTTGCCCTGGTTCCATCTAGTCCCATGTCGGGACTCTGCCTTTGGGGTGCTAGGAAGTGAGGGCAACTGAGGCTTAAGTTGAGAAAGCAGATGCCAGGGAGTGAATAATATTCAAAGCCAATCAACTCCTAAGTTACAAAGCATGATATTAATTAATTGTCTTCCTGTATCTATACAAAAAGGACATTGCATTAAAGCAAACTATTCAAAAGACATAAGGAGAGGAGAAAGGCAGTATTAACTTACAGTACAAGTTCAGTGTCCTAGAAGGATGAGACCTTACAAAGTGGTTGGGGAAAAGAGCACAAAGAAGTAGTTACTGACAAACAAAGTAATGGGAGTGACTCGGGAGCACTGTGATGGGTGCAACCTGATAAACCTAAGGTCCTTGTACTCCAACAGAGAAAGGACCTCAAAATTGAAACATATGCTATTTATTAGTACTAGTAAGCTAAAATGTTATTCACAATTTACTCTTAATATTGAGAAAACATTTTACTTTAATGACCAAAGTCCAAAAGTTA